TTGAACATTGTAGACACATTCTGCCTCTAAAATATTTTGGAAAATTGACAAGGAATTTGATGAATAATTTCTTATATCAATCAACTATAGAAAGTATAGCTCTACATAAATGTAGAGAGCTGCACAGAGCTAAACTCATGCAGAACACAACAAACCAGAGATCAAGCTATGCATTAATATATTGAGTAGATGGCTTTCTTAAATACCCGATTATTCGTCAAAATTCCTTGTTAATTTTTAACTAGACCGTAATGGCTTACAGATGTTTTGTTTGCTTGCTTGCTTCTTACAGTCCCCTGAAAAGTCTTTTTATTCTGTTGTATGGATTAAAGAAGGATCTCAATTGTTAATTTAAAAAAAAGCATGGTCATGAAGTTGACTGTGTGGTAGAAGATTGTCCACATAGAGTTTCCCAGAATCAGATGGTTGCATCTTTCTCCTGTAGAGCAGTTGTTAGGTTTGAACTGCTAACCTTTCTGTAAACAATGCAGCACTTAGCCACTCACTGCCCCTGGGCTGATTCCAACTCCTAGTGACTCTATAGGACACAGCAGAAGTGTCTCTTTTGGTTTACCAGACTCTATATTTCTATGGGAGCAGACAGTCTCCCTTTTTCTGTGGAGCAATTTGCAGGTAAGCAATGAACTACACAACCAGGCCTCCTTACTCCACTAGTAGGATCCTTGTTATTCGATCCTAAATATTCCTGAGTCTTACCAGCAGCAATTCAAAGTTAGGAGCTTCATGCTATCTTTACCTAGGAAGGAAGCAGCAAAATTACATTCATGGATACATTTATATATGCCTAATTTTTTTTCTGGAAGACGGATTTTAAATGAACACAGAAGCTTAAAGGAGAAAATGAAATTCTGAGCCAAAAAAAAGAGGGGGGGGAGGATGTTTATCTGGGGGAAAAAAAGGATGATGTCATGTACTGGTTGCTATAAAAGAACAGCAGTCTGTCCCTTGAATGTTCATTTGAGTGAAATTGTATCCCTTGAAGGTCACCAAGTTGTCAAATATAAATTACATTCCAAGAAATGGATCAGCTGAATGGGATTATTTAATACCTTTGTTACAAATCAGCTTCTCCAGGTTATAAGCATTGAAACTGAGACTAGCATACAGAGATTTTGGAAGGTTTATTTAGGAATGGCCTTGTCAATACCCATGAGGAGAGTAGATGAGAATAACAGGGGGAAAAGGAAGACTTTAGCTTTCATGTGAAGCCACCGTGGTTAACACCCAGACCTGCCTACTATAGACACCGGCTATGACTCTCAGCCCCAGGATGTCCTGGGCCTCCGGCAGCTGGAAAGACCCCTGCCCCTCACCTCCGTGTGTTACCCCCAGGACCTCCCCGGACCTCTCCGCTCCAGGGAGTTCCACCTGCTTGTGCCACAGCGGTATCCACAGATGCTGCCTCCACAACCTTCCCCACATGTGCCTTGGAATTACCAGTACTATTGTCCTGGAGGTCCCGACCCCCACCAGGTGCCATATGGCCACGATTACCCTCGGGCGGCCTACCAACAAGTGGTGCAGCCAGCTCGACCTGGGCAGCCCCTACCTGGAGGCAGTGTGAGAGGCCTTCCTCCTATGCAGAAGGTCCTTCTGAACTGTCCCAGCTCTCGGGACCAAGAAGAGAGGCCAGCACAAAGAGATGACTCCTCCCCAGGGCCTCGGAGGCATGAGGACCAGCTGTATCACTAGACACGGACTCGAGCTGGAGCTCTTGAGCACTCCTTGGAGCGTCCTGCAGACCTGAGACCACAGGGTCCCCAGGCTCTGTCCTCAGCTGCGGTCCCCAGACCCCCTAGTAACCCTCCAGCCAGAGGAACTCTGAAAACAAGCAAT